GTATTCATGTTACAACATCATTGTCATTCGTTCCTCTTTCGTAACAGACCCATAATGTCACAATAACCTTAAACCTTTAAAGGTAACATGTGATGTAATATGATGAGTTGGATGCATGTAAAGCAGCTTTCTTGCCATGTAACTTTAAAGTGAGAAATTTCAACATTTTACTTTTCATGCTTATGAAAATTACCATATTAATTTTATGAGCCAAAACGTGATGTCATTCAAGGCAGAGCAGTAGTGTCTCTATAGCTGTGATACAAATAATTATATCAAACTTTTCTTCATTTTCTTGGAGTAAGTTCCACTTTTTACTTGTTTATCATGTTAAACAGCTTGTTTGGACAATAGTAAGTGGCCAATATTTTCTTTAAAAGTTTTTTTGTGGGCAATTTTGAAGCACTAATTTTTGTACTGTTCATAATTAAGTACTTTTGACGAGGAGTACCTTGTGTGACAAAAGCAAAATAGCGCCCTCTTACATGTATTGATGAAAGGGTTTGTTAATATTTGAAGGGAAACAAAACGACTTTCTTGTCACTTCCAATTAAAACATGTATTAAGATCATGTATGTATTGTTGCAACACATAGTAATGTGCATGAAAATAAGATGAGCTGAATTTCCACTGCATGTTTCCTTTAAAGCTATAGTCCATCATTTGCAGCCATCCCAAAAGTAACTGGCGTAATTATTGTTGAAAAAAACAAACTTGGTTGAAAGATAGTAAGGGAACTAAACTCCCTGTGCAATTATTCCTTCTGGGAAGCTGTCATTTTGAAGTAATCAACGAAAGAAGGCATTTCCAACGGTGATTCTTAAGAAGCACCGTAGGAAAATTTAGATTAGTAGTTAGTTTTGTTATTTAGCGCAGCGCGCACAAGAATTGGAACGACTCACACGCGCGCGCGGTTGTTATAATTCGTCGGATCAGTGCGCTACGCGTACGTCGCGTAAAGCTGCAATTCAAAACAATTCAAAACATGATTCGGTAACTTTTGATTTGAAATTGAGATCTTAGAATGCTGTTTTTCTCGGAATGTACAGCTGAAGCTTAGGTGAAACTATATCAGGTTAGTTGTTCAGTATCGTTCATTAGATTTTGAACCCTTTTGTTGCTTCAAACGAACAAAATGCACAAATTACAAATGATGGACTATAGCTTTAATGCGCATCTTTTAGTGGCAGATTAATTGATTCACTTACTGACTGCGGCTTTGTTCGAATAGCCTAAAAACTACACATAAAAAGTACACTACCAAAATCCCCACCATCGGACATGAAAAAAAAACGTGACCAAATCCCGACATCAGACCTGGGGCAGCGAAGGGGGGAGGGGGGAGGGGGGGGGGGGAGAGGAGACATAAATAGGTGCATTAGACTTGCTTAACCCTAAAGGGGCCGGGTTATTTTGACCATCTCTCAGCCGGGGGGGGGGGATTCCGCCCCCCCCCCCCCTAAGATCTCGGCCATCGAGTGACTATATATATAATTTCATGACTATAGGTCAAAGGGTTTTGGAATTATGGCTAATGAATTATTCATATGTATGAATGGCAATTCTGCTCGCTGTACACGACGTATATGGGAAAATTCAGTTTATACGGCGCGTAGCGCCGGAAAACTTTTCGCTACGTGCCAACCCGTGGTCCGATTTTTATGTTTTTGGTATCAAAAAATGCGCAAAGCTCGAGGCTAAAAAGTCATAACAGCTCGGGTCGCGAACTTTTTTTTTTTAGAGGCTATCGCGGAAAATGTTGAGGGGGGGGGGGGCGGATTCCGCCCCCCGGCCCCTTCAGGGTTAAGCGTAGTCTGGTTCCCTGACCCCATTGTCCTGTGGACTGAAAAAAAAATGGGATCCGGTATAACTAGCGGTGAATCTGGCATACATTGCCCGGAATTTCGGGTAATGTACGTCAATAATAATTATGACGTGTGTAGATCTGAATCCCGCCTCTCCTCGTGAATTATGGACCACAACCGTAATGTTTGCACGCAACCAGCCTGTTGCAAAACGGTAATAGGCCATGGCCGCGAATGTGTAATTTTGGAGTCAATGAGCTTCAATTTTTGCTGAATTTAAAAGAGTCGCTGGCAAAGAGAAATAGTACTGGAACTGGTGATGGTGTGTACTTTTTGTGGTTAGAAATGCCCGAGTTTCTTGATAATCGTGAGTTCAATCATCGGTGTCCATGCGCAAAATTTGCACTGCGTTTCACAAATAATGAGTAAATCAATGTAAAATGACTAAAACTGTCGTTTAAAGTACCTCCAAAGTCTACCTAGTATGAGAAATATGACCAAATCAATGCTAAAGTCCTGACATTACGCGGCCATTTTGGATTTATGCAAATTAGGCATAATTCCACCACCTGGATTTCTGAAAACTTTTAGTATGTCATTTTAGGGACCTTACAGAAATGCAATGTGGTGGAAAAAAATATGTTGCCTATTGTTTGAGGTCAAACCTTATATTGCCGGTACTACAATTCAAAACATGATTCGGCAACTTTTGATTTGAAATTGAGATTCTATGTTATTTTTCTCGGAATATACAGCTGAAGCTTAGCTGAAACTTCATCAGGTTAGTTGTTCAGCACCTTTCTTTGGATTTTGAGCACTTTTGTTGCTTCAAACGAACAAAATGCACAAATTACAAATGATGGACTATACCTTTAATAAATGGCTCTACTCGTGAACTGCAAAAATGAAGTTTACAAACTGGCGACACTTTTCTTTTCAAATTCAGATGAACTATCAACTCTTTATTGCATTTCTGTGTAAATAAAAATATAATATGAAACTAAAAATAAAATTCAGTCACTCGAGTGTTAGGCTACTGGAAAAAAATATTCAAAATAAAAAGTCAAAGTCAAAATAGTCCAAATTGTATTGATTTGACAATCTACAGCTAAAAGCAATGGTTTACATTCAGTTGCCAAGAACCAGATAAACCAGTCATATTTACCAATTATATACAATCGGGATTGATTAAACGTCCTTCTTTAATTTCCAATGATTCACGCGGGTTTGGGCTTGCATTTCGAAGATTGCACGCCGGGCGCGCTCACAATGCGCTCGCGTGCTTTGCACGTAACGTCACGTACGAAAAAACAAATTATGATTCAAAAGTCGCGATGCCTGTACGATATGGATTTTGTCAGCCGCGTTTTTCGCTAAAAATACCCCTGTATCTGTGGTTGTAAAGGCACGAAAGGGGTACGTACATTTAATACAAATCTTTGCTAATTAACACAACGTCCAAACGTTGTGTTTGAAAGGATTGATTCTTCAAAGTCACAACTTTTAACATTTTAAAGATGGCGTCGGCACGTAAAACGGATAAACTGCAGCCCTAATTATAATGTGCCGTATTTTGGCACATTTAAATTACACAATTCCAGGGGTTACGATCGCGCAAGGCATGATGGGAAACAACATGGCGCTGCAAGATCGTACCCACGGGGCACGAGGTTGCCTTTTCTCAGCCTCGACTCCATGGGCGCGTGCGCGTTCCTATGAGATCGCGCAAGGCATGATGGGAAACAACATGGCGGAGCAAGACCTCGTACCCATGGAAACGAGGTTGTCCTTTTCTCGCCGCTGAATGAGAACGTGTACACGACGCCCATGCAAAGTACAACACACCTGGGTGTATGACGTCAACGTGTCATTTGTAATTATGTACAAGCTACTTGCAGAATAGAATGATCCCTCAAACTTTGTTCGGTCCTTTTTGTGCTAGCCCCCGTGAGGCGAGCCAACAGTCTTGACTTGCTCACTGACAGCAACACTGGCTGACACACTGTCACGTGAGCAGGGCAGTGCTATCGTATAGGTAAACCCTGCAGGGCAAATGAATGGGCCAAATCTGGGACCAGCTATAGGTTTGCCTATAATCATATAGTAAGATTGTTTTACAATGTACCAGGGATGTAGTTGAGTTAATTACAAGTCCCTGCAAGTCCATCTCAAGTCCTCCAGTCCCAATTCAAGCACTTCAGCTATTCGAATAAGCTTTGACAATGGCATAGCTTTGTTACTGTTCGTTCATACACTGTTACCTGTGACTGGACCTGTGATTTTACTGTGACTGGACTTGTGATGGACTTGTGGTAAACTGCAGTACCCATCATGCAATCCCTCTTTACGTAGATAATAATAATTGAATTAAAGGGGCACTAGGTCCTGACACAGCCCAATTGGTCTACAAAACGCGCTTTGAACGAGATGATGATAATCGGAAATAACATTTAAAAGTAGGATATAAACATCCACACAACTATCCTTTCAAAACTGGGCGTTTCTGTGTTATTCCTGTATTATGGGTGCGAGAACGAATTTCGGGGTGCACTTTTGCGACACCATAAATTCGAGCTGTTTGGATGCTAGTTGTGATTTCATTCGTAAGTGTTCGCCTTTTGCAGACGTTGAAGAAACCATTTTTGTGGCAATGATGGTGATTGGTCACCGCTGTTCCCGAGACACAACGTGTATATCGTACACTGAGAACGACACGAAAAACGTATTAGTAATCCGTCATGTCCGATGTAAACAAGCGTTTTTTTCGTCTTTCCTCGGGAACGGTAAGACATTAGGTTGGTTTCCTTTCAACCAGATGTTTGAAATAGGCTACGTAAACAATCCAAAACATAAAATTTCCGGGGATTTCAGGACCTAGTGCCCCTTTAATGCACGAGATTAGAAAGACATGTTCTGCATATAGCGAATTAGTAAAACAAATCATGGTTTCCGAAACAACAGTGACAGATTCAAAACGGGAAACCACACACAAAAATCCCATCCGTCTATTTTAAAGCGGATGAAAACTGTTAAAAATAATGTTAAAAATATGAAATTTCTAAATATTCAGCGAGTATGACCATTTGATATCAATGTAAAAAACAAATCTCGTCACTTTCTGCAATGACAGATTATGTTCCGATCGTGTATTTACATTTTGTATATTGATTATAGACAGCAATTTATACTTGTTTAAAAAGGTCAATACTTACAATCTACTTCAGCCTGTTACTTTAAAACAAGTAACCTGTTTCTATTAAAAAAGGCAAGTGTCCAACGTCATTATTGTAAGTTACACCTCTTTGTTATAAGGAAAAACAACTCTTCGTATTTTAACTAACTGCAAAAACAGCCTCTCTTGAATTAAAGATTGTGGCTTTTTTTCGGCGCAAATTAGGCTAACATTTAAAATTATTTTCAATTGCCTTTGAGAAAGATTTTGCTCAACTGAAGACGTTTGGTCATGCTACATTGGCAATTTGTACAATAACTCCAGACGATACGCAGCAGTCTAGTGTTCTTTTTTGGTTTCATACAAACCCTTGCCAGTGAAACGATCTATATTTGCACGTTACAATGACCACAGACTTGAAATTAAACTGTGTAACGTGAGGTATTTTCTTAACCCTTGCCAGAAACAACTATTAATGTGCCAACAAAATGAGGTTTGTAGTTTTGTACCTCATTTACAGTAACGGGGGAGGAGTAGCCGCCCAACGCGCTAATAAACGCGCCCTTTGCACACGACCCGCTCGCACCGTTTCTCAGACCCCGGCTTCGTCTCCGCTCCGGCTACAACTCCCCGCGTCAAAAAACTGTCTCGCTATACCACTGGTAACTTGTGAGTCGAAACAACCTTCATTACGTCATGTTTGGGTTAGACTCGAAACCAGGACGTCCTAATAGCTTGAGCAATCGAGTAGGAGTTTGCCGGAGCCACTTGGCAGGAAAAAGAAGTAATCATTAAAAACGTCAAGCGCCAAAAACACTGCAAACGTTAAAAGCGGCTTGTATACTTGCGACTGCACGGAGACTATATATACAATTTTTGTAATAAAGTTTACACATTGTCGTGCTTAAATTTCTTTCGACAGCAAATGATTATAATCTGTCCTTTTAGTCGGGTAGCGAGTTCACTTTTCATGATGTTGGACGCACGTGATGCTGCCATTAAGTATGTGTTATTCCCTGTTTACGATAAAAAAAAAGGTAATCGTAAAAATGTACTATATAATAGTAGAAAAGACGACATAATTATTATCTGCCATAAGTAAAGTAAAATGCACGGCAAAGTTATGTTCTCAGCAAAACATTATCAACAGCAAAAATAACTGGGAACCATGTATGCGCAATGAATAAAACTCACAATTGTATTTTGATAACCTACTTAGTAATTATTTTCGCTGTTCAGCAAAAATTGTGGAAATATGTTTTTCGTGAGAGCATTACTATGCTTATCAAAACCAGCTGAGAAAAAAGTGTACAGCTATCAAAACATCGGATAGCTGCTCTTATAGTGATTGGGTTGCAGACCAGTAAATATGCTCCAATTTGCCTACGACGACCAACATTCATGATTTGTTGATTAATTGGCAATTTGCTCTTACAAATACAACATTTTGTGGCCCTTGCACTGGAGGGTTTGTATCCAGGACGGATCCCAGCTCTGATTCAGTCTTTGAACTTTTACTATATTTCCAAATTTGGGATGAAATTAGACCAAAACGTTGCACTTGCTCTGCGTTGCAATGCATTGAAGGGATCGTTATTCGAAATGGCGATGGGCTTCAGGATAAATTTGTTAGCCGAAAATCATCCATGAACCCCAGAAAATGCTTAACAGAAGGTGAAACAGGGTAAATCAAGCTTTAAATTTGATGTGTGTCTCGAAAACCTTGCAGAGTTTCGAGTATTTTTCCCGATCTTTAGAAGTGGTTTTCAACTGGTTTCTGATATATTTACTGGTTTGCACCCATTATTGGCGCCACTGATCTTTATAATTATACTGACTAGATAGCTGTCTCACTCATCACTGTGGGTGATGAAAGGAACATTTTACGCGTGAGTCACTTGTCTTGTGGAGCCGCCAATGGCTGTCCGTTATAAGAAGCCGTGCTGGACAGAGGAGACTTTATTTATGAAGGGCATAACGCAAACTAATGTCCACATTAATTTGAATGATTTCAATGTACTCAGTTACTGGTCGAAGCAGATAAATGGGAACATTTGATCGATTTAATGTACACATCAATTTGATATAACGCCCACACAAATTCGAATAATGCTCAGCATTATTAATTGTCATCACGGCTTTCCATAGTCACTATTAAAGGTTCCACATGTCTACAGAGTAACGCACAAAATTAGGCCTCTCAAGATGGCGTCCAAACGACTTCAACCTATTTTGTCTACACGCCATCCAGTCAGTATAGTTATAGAGATCAGTGTTTTTGGCACGCTGGGTTAGCCGTAATAGGTATAGGAGCTAAAGGAGGCTACGATGACCACGTAGTAGATGATAATGATGACGACACCGGAGACCTCCAATAATATGCCAGTGATCAGGCCGGCCAGCGACCATCTCTTAGCGCTCTGTGAAGCCTGCTCAGCGCCCGCCACGTCCCCGGCCGCCCAGCGGTTTCTCACCTGTAATTTAAAAGAAAGGTGAGATGTGACAAGCAAGTATGAGCTCCGTGCGCTACCAAAAGAGGGCGCCCTTTCACCTAACAACAACGTCTCATGGGCGGGACATTTCGCTGGTTGACGGGCACCGTTCCTTGTGTGTGACGCACGTACACCAGGGGATGTGTACTATTTACACGCAGTGGCTGCGCGCGTAATTTTTATTCCTAGGAGGGTTAGGGGCAATGTCATGAATAATTCATGTTTATCCATGAGAACGGACAATGACATCAACAGCATTGTTGTTAGTTACTCAACTAGTTACAATATATTAAAGCATTTTAAAGAACGGTTGTCGTCGAGCTACCACACAGTAGCCTAGTGGATAGCGAGATGAGCTGTGGATACAAAGATCCCTGGTTTGAATCCACGTCATCGCTGTTCATTTTCATCAGTTATTTTTCTTCTCCAAATTTATCACTGAGATAATTTTAAATTAAGGGGAAAATAAAACTAGAACCTAAGTCTTGCAATGATTCAAAGGAAAAACTGAATTATTCATGACATTGCCCCTAACCCTCCTAGGAAAAAAAATTACGCTGGCCGCGCTTCGCGGCAAATGAATTGCAGTCTGGCAAGATGGCGTCGGTCGGTCACCCCCAACTGTACTTCCTTTGCCGGTGAGGGGGTGCTTGTGAACAGAGCAGATAGGCCAGTGCGAATATTTACACAGTTCGGTATGGGATCATGCAAAAGTACCCCCTCAACGGCAAGAAAAGTAGAGTTGAATGACACCACTGGAAGAGACATTGAACAAGAGTATTAGTGCTGACCTTTTAAACTAGACTACTCGATTTGCGATTGAAATCGCGAACTCGTCTGCTTTTCAATCGAACGCGTCCAGTCAAGCGACTAGTCAAATCTAGTTAGCGTGTAGTAAACGAAAAAACCAGCGTTGGCACGTCATGTGTAGATTCTATTATTTTCTCTACCTAACTTTAGTGCGATAAATAATTGAAAAGTTGAACAAAGACATTGAATGAAGCGGGGCTTGAACCTGCGGCCTCCGATTACCGTTCCGGTGCTCTACCCACTGAGCTATCCTGCCTTATGTTGGCGGTTCCCCAAAGGACGCAGAGTGTGTCTGATTTTGTTGAAACAGACTATAGGGGCTACCTTATTATTTTTTTTTTATTCTCCATTAATACAACACCGAATACTCATTCCCCGTATACATTGATGAGTTGAATCTCGCCAACATTTTATTTCGTATTTTTTGGGGGTAAAATGTACACTTTTCTAAAGCTGATCCGAATTTGACTAGGGCCTGATGATGGTACTCGCAAAACTGCGACGTGCTCTCTATATGAACTTTTACGTAAGTGTGCAGAGAAATGCCTACACATGGATTTTCAGAGTGGGCGCATCACGGATACACAATGCTAAACGTAATTCTTGTTTTTTTTTTCACATGAGTGGAAGATCGTTTAATACATGCTTTATTGGTGCATCAAATTTAATTGCCCATTTAAGGTGAACAATCGTTAATGCAGGTCGCTTTCCTTTTGACTCACCCTGTATTGTTTGAGCATGGAGCTTTTTTTTTTAACTCTATTATCAAAGCATACAATGTTGCAATTCACACTTGCAAACTTGGAGACGGTAGTCGGATTATGTTAAATGACTCCAAATAAGTTTATAAAAAAACACTTTAGCATTCTGGAAAGGTTTTTCTTTTGATCGCAGGAGAAATCGAAATTCTAAACTGCAAGTAGTACGAAGTTACTAACGATCTGAACAACCTTGACCCCAGGGCTTACCTAATGTTCAACCCCGTTTCCATGCTTTATTAACAGGTACATGTAATGGGAGTGAGAGACCAGGTTCTGGGAGCGTACTGCTTGACATCATGGGACCGAGGTTGCACTCTGAATATCAATATTATGTTTGGGTCCATTTGAATTTGAATATGCCAAATGCGGATTGGCCAATTACATGTAAAATCATGTATACAATAGACATCAAATATTGTGAACTGTACTTACGTCCATGGCCTTGACAATGCCGACAATTCCCAGTGGCAGGCAGCAACAGATGGTCACAATGATGGCCAGAGTGAGATAGTCATTGGGCTGGACACCAGTAGTTCGGACGATCACCGTACTCTGGGGGACAGTCTGGGAACAAGACCAAAAGTCTGTTATCATACGGCGTCAGCTAAAGGGTGCAGGCCGGTATATAGGAAATTGCCTACGCAAGCCAAAACACGATATGCATGCCCTCCGATTCTCTGCTATTAAAGCATTTTGTATGAACTTGAGAGTTTGTAAAATAAAGAAGGGCGGGAGCCGTGAGCAGACCTATTAGCTTGTGTTTCTATGTATTGAATTTGGATGAAATTGGGCCCTAAAATGGCTCCATCTGGATCTGGATCAATACTGCAAGCAATCTCTCGCTATGGGATGTGTAGGTTGCAGATGTGTGTAGGTTGCAGATGTGTGTGGCTGCATTGGGGCAATTGTAATTGTGCAATGTGCGTATAGGCATAATTTTTTTCAAGATGGCGATAGGCTTCACCACAACTTTTATGGGGTTATCATCTTTGGATGGAAATTCCTCACAAAATCGTTGGATTACCCCGAAAGACATTGAAAAGAATATGAAAGATGATGACATAAGAATAATACGCGTTTGTTTGTTTGTTAGTATTAGTTGTTTGGGGGTATTTTGTTTGTTTATTGTGGTGTTTGTTGGGGGTGTTGTGGTGTTTGTTTGTTTGTTGGGGTGTTGGGGTTGTAGGGGTGAGGAGTGTTGGGGTGTTTGTTTGTTTGTTGGGGTGTTTGGGCGTTTGTTTGTTTGTTTGTCCGTTACATTTTCTTCTGTTCGGTTACTTGTATGTTAAATAATAATTATTCACTGTCATACTATAGTGTTTATTTAACTTTAAAGGCATTCCCTATACAAGCTTTGGCTTTATGTGTATGCATTCAACTGCTGTTTTTATGCCCCGCGGCGAAGCCGAAGGGGCATACTGTTTCCGCCTTGTCCTTCCGTGGGTGGGTGGCTGTGTGTGTGGGTAGGTGTGTGTGTGTGTCCGGACAAATCTTGTCAGCGCGAAAACTTGAGAAATACTTTACATATGAACTTCAAATTTGGTTTGTGTATTGTTCTTGGTAACCCTAAGAACTCTTTTGCATTTGGGGCCGAAAGGTCAAGGGTCAAGGTCACAGTGACTAAAACAAAAGAAATTTTGTCAGCGCGATAACTTGAGAAATACTTTACATATGAACTTTACATTTGGTTTGTGTATTGTTCTTGGTAATAATAGGTTAAAAGAGTGGTGTTATGTAATGGGAACAGTCACGGTTGCGGGGCATTTGTGTTTGTAAACACACCTGACTTGTTCTTCATGCAATCATTGTTATATATAGTGTTTGTATGATTTGGAAATAAATGTTGCATTGAATTGATAAAGCGGGTGTGATATTTCAAGTGAATAACTTGGAGGTTTTGTTGGACTGATCGAGATAGACAATTGTACATTGTGGTGCAATGCAAGCATGCTTTATTTGACCTCTTCAGTGACCTTATCTATGGAGCGCCTAGTACCACAGAATAACACAAGTGATCTTGCATGTAATGGAATGCCTTTGATACAAAATGAATGGCTATGAATACTACAGCGGGTAGCATACATGGAGATCAATGATTGCATTTATTTGCCTTACCGTGATCACAGCTGCGCCTTGCTGCTGGTTGTACACTGCCTGCGGCGGATAACCAGGCTGAAAAAAAAATGATAGAAGACAACCCACACCCAACAATGGCACATAGGAACTGAGTAAAAAATATAGCTCATAGAATATAGCTGTATAAATAAACAAAATAGGCTATGCTTAGCTAAGGTAAATAAGTATGGTCAACGGCTAGAATTCTGCGTTGGCTAACCATTTGTCTTTGCTAGCTAGGCATGTGTTCTGTGGCAGGAAGCTTGGCCCAAATTTGTGTCAAAGACAATGATAATCGGCGGTCGTATACCCATCACCCTGTCCTGTTAAGTAGCTCTATGAATTTGGGCCAAGGCCACGGGTTGACCATGGTCCACCCAATGACAGCTCCAAGAAATTAGCGGTCATTATATGACATACAGGTCCTCGTCATTTGATTGGTGGAACCTACATCACGTGGCATTCATTATTGCTCCCCTTCACGCCGGGGCTCAAACAGTCTCATTCGCCCGTGGTGAATGGGATTTACTATTTGAGAGTTAGGATCATCCTTGATCAATGATGGAGCGGTATTTGTGTGCAAATGCACACACGCTTACATAGGCATAGAAGTGGGGTACTTCCTTTGTTCTCGTGTATTAACATTTTGCAACGTCAAGGGCGGATCCAGGGGGGGGGGGTGGCAAAGGGGGCCGTGACCCCCCCCCCCAAAAAAAAAAAAAACGAGACCAATTTATTTTAATTTTTTTTATGTGACATCGCAATAAAGGCAGGCAATGAGTACGCCACCCTCTTTTCCTCAAAAAACATTGGTTAAAGTGGTCAGAAATTGCCTCAGATCGCACCACAGAGCATCTAGAATCCATTTTTTTTTTCTGGGCCCTTCAGCGGGCCCCGAACCCCACGCCGTAATTTTTTGACCCACTTTTTGGGGGGTCCAAAAATTGTTTTAACCCCCCCCCCCAAAAAAAAGTGTGTTCTGGATCCGCGCTTGCAGCAACGTCACACATTTATGTCAAAATGCTCTTATTTTAACCATAGTTAATTTTGTGGGCTGAAATTCGGACTTAATATCCCTTTTCTAAAACTCTTCCATTTGCGACAGATCAACCCACCTTGGAAATTCCTAGTTTTTGAGTAACATCTATATATCTATTTCGTGAAAAACTTGTGGGGTACCAAAACGGTACCCCGCAAGTCGGTGGGGATTCCTTGTGGGGTACCTCCCATTGTTCCGGTACCCCACAAGGCAGTGTTTGTACACGCATGCTGGAGTGGGCGTAGCACGTATTGTTTCCAAGAGCCAGTAGCTACAGAGTTGGGTTCAAACATTTCGTGAAGGGGTGGTTTGGAAGAGAGAAATACGTTTCCCATCAATTTTGCATTGAAATAGAAGTTCATTTTAACTGTAAATCAAATGACAAGGATTATATATGTCAGTTATATAAGACAAATAATTATTGAGTGGCTTTAAATTGTTACATGGGATATTATCGCTCGGTAAAATCTGGACTTTTCCATTTCACTCGGCGAAAAGAAGTCCAGGTTTTACCTTGCAATAACATTCCTCCCATACCATTCTGAGCCACTCAATGTTTGTACATGTACTACACCATGTGTCCTTGGTTTTGGGCGACTAGCGCCATCTACAATTTCTACTGCATGAGTCCATTCTACAATCTCTAGGCGCCAAAGAGAAAGTGCGATTGAAATGCAAAAAGGAGTAGCCAGTGTAAATTGTGCAAATAGTTCCTTTGCATAGGCTTGTCAAGATTACAGGCAGTGTTTTTTTTTAGGCAACCAATGGAACGGAACGCTAAAGCTGCCTTGAGTTCGTTATCACTTGCTTTGTAGGATTCATCATTCTTTTTATGTTAATTGACGCTTTTGAACATCGCTTCAAACGTTCTGACAATGACGAAATTGCCGAGATGATAAATTTGCCGAACGGAATAGTTAAATAATACGCCGAACGGATCGAATGGTAAATTTGGCCGAACGGAATGGTGACTTTGCCGAAACGAATGATGAAATGGCCGAACAGAATCGTAAATGTTCGAATGGAATGTTGAATCTGGCAAATGTATTGAATTTGCCGAATGTAATGATGTACATTATTTTACTTGCCGAATGCAAAATAAGCAATGATTGATTTGCCAAAATGGCATGATGAATTTGACGACTAGAATTACGATGACTTTGCCGAGGGAATGACGAATCAGACGAATGCAGGGAGTGAACTATGCAAGACAGCTTTGGCGTTTCATATAATTATGATTTCGGACCTGGCTTTACCTGCTGGGCGGGGTATCCTTGTTGAGGGGCTGGGTATCCCTGCTGTGGGGGGTATCCTTGCTGTGGGGGGTAGCCCTGCTGTGGGGGGTAGCCCTGCTGAGGGGGGTAGCCCTGCTGGGGTGGAGCATATTCAGCAGGGTTGTACTCCGGTGGCTTTTCGGGGTTGATTTCACCTGCTGCAATCAATCAATTATAAAACAATCAGTCGTTCAAACGAACAATGTGTGTGCGATTCAAGACATGTACAGCTAGCCGCACAGTATATATATCTAGTCACGTCTCGTCAAATTAAGCTGCACCAAGTCACATTCACGTCAATGACGTCACGATATTAGCCCACGTGGTAACGCTTGTTACGGCATCTTAATTTACGCCTGGCCTGTACGGCACGCCCGTCTTGCCGCGTTATATCAGTTACGTAGCGTCACTCACGTCAGAACGTGTCAAATCGTCACCGTTTTCACGAATAATAATAATAATAATAGCAAACATTTATACCGCGCTTCATACTACGTTTCTAAGCGCTATATGATGCTGTTGTCCTTGTAGACTATTAGGTAAAACAAGGGCAACCGCACCAAATACAAAAGAACAGAATTACAGGTAGAAAACAATAACTGACATGGAGTGTACAAACATAAAGTTGCCAAAATACAAAGGAAACTAACAGAAAACAACATAAATTTTGTGTGGACCAAGCAGCAGATTGGGGTAAGACTTATTACAGAGATTTGTTTAAGTGGGTTTTTAACACAGATTTAAATGTTTCTAAGGACGAGGCATTTTGAATTTTAGGAGGGAGACTGTTCCATAAATTTGGAGCGGCGACGGAGAGAGCTCTGTCACCATAATGTCAAAAATTACCATTTTTTTCGATTTCGATTTTTTTCTCACTTTTTTTTTGCTTTAAAACATTGTATTTAACAATTTCGACATGTTTCTGTGCGCTATGAATTTTGAAAAATTCCGAAGGAGTCCTAACAATAATAACGTCAACGGGTTTTAGTTGTCAATCATAAATGTACGTTTTTTTAATTGATTGCTTTATGTTATTCTGTTAATTGGCAAAATTTGATTGTGTTCAAGTGTGGAAAACTCTTCTAAGTTCCGTGGTTGGGCGAGAAAATTGCACTCCAAAAATGGTTTATCAATAATTTTAATCACAATATTGCTGTTACTTTATCAACATGTTTAGAAGCTTAACATTATTTTTGTACGAACGTGTTCAACTCCCAACATCAGTGTTCATTGCTATAGAGTAAGACATTATCTGTCTATACTCTAAACACATTTGCAAACTGATAGCAATAAATTGTTTAATTGCTATAATAGTGTTTTGCAGTGTAGTAGCGGACAGAGGGCGCACTTCCTAATCCACACGTTATTCTCGGAGCTCGTCGTGATCTAAATAACAATGTCGTAACCGCGTGCATCAAGTCGGCATGGTTACGTTCGTGTGGTAATTTTCCATGATTTTTCCATACACCATTGTGCGCTGCAGCGCGCTGCAAGGTCAGTTCTGTATGTTTGCACGCGTCGGTCGATATCTTCTTTGTATACATGTATAATGCCTGTCACTATTCAGACTTGGTTCAACGAAGTCGCTCTTTTCTAAATAATATTCATTACTCTATAACGCCAGAAGAACACGTAATGACCTGATTATTCTAATGAGCCGAATGTGGCTCGAACTGAATCTCAGATTTGGGCAAGCCTGCGGGAACGGGGGGTGTTGTGACGAGTGCTGCACACTGTAAACACGTTGGGAAAAATGAGTTGATATGTAGACGGTAGACCATCGTTGGTCAACATATCAACAGGTTAAACTCTTGGGTAAATTCTTCCCAATTGTTGGACAATTTTTACCCAAATTGGGTTATTTCAAACTAGTGTTGCGTAAAATTATATGGCCCAACACTGTTTTACCCATTATTTTTTTTACAGTGCAGCAACCCCAACTTTTTGGATTGGGGTGCTGGAATATGCTTCAGCACCCCCTACTCCCGGGCAAAAATGTGTCCCAGCCAGCAGTGTTATACGAAAATTGCACCGCTACGCTATACATTATGCTTGCTCTACAACATATCTCCTTCGTTTTGTTCGTTTCTAGTTTCGCCGCGGCTAAGCACGGCGCTCAGCGAACGTCTAGCACAAAGTAACACTGTAAAATATCCAGAAGAGGTATTTTCTAAATCTTCAAGCAGTGCAGAATCTAATGTATCTAAAATTATGACATGTCTATAATACTTCCACCACGATGGAAGCTTTGACCCGAAAGCAATAACCTCGGCCATGACAATGGTCGTAAAGTTGATTTGCTTGCCAGGATTTTTTTCATTCGATCTTTCAATAGGGGCAAATGTCCATACCTTTTCCCTGAAGTTTTTTCTTTTCATTTAAAAGCTTTATTGACGTTGCTAGCACTCTGTACTCAACAACAAATAACGAGGTTCACACACACATTCCAAACCTATAATAGGAGTGGGAGGGGCTTCCATTGAAACTAGTCATGCTGTACGCCAAATCCAGTGTAGTTTCGTTTTAATAAAAAAGCTATTCAAGTTTTACCCTCTGCAAGTTTTTTTCTCATAAAAACTCAGTAGACCGATAAATCATTGCCTATAGCCTCAAACTTGCCATCCATCGATCATAAACATAAAGATGCATTCTTTTGGTCTGTTAGTGTTTTATATTTGCCATTCCCTGTAACAAACAAAATACTGCAAATATATCGAGAGCTACATCGTTTAGGCTTATGGGAATGTTTTTATGAACAGAAATTCATCCGGTTCCAGTGGAACCACTTTGTTTTAACTTGAACCAAAAAAACATGCTTTCGTATTTTATAAGTTTAAGTATATAGTTACTTCAGTATATTTCATCACAGTGCATCCAGAATCCAACATTTTTCCGGGGCCTGAAAGTAGGCCCCTGGCCCTGTAAATAGGCCCCTGGCCCTGTGGCCCCACGCCGCGCCGTAAGGACTCGAAAAATAAAACAAAACATACACGACGGAATTTACTAAATGTAAGAAAGCAGCCTTGCAACAATAATATTTACATGCGATTTCATGCATAGCGATACAATTCTTTTTCCAGAATTAAATGGAACAAAAAAATGGAGATAAAAATACAGGGTTCTCGACTTTTCAGTACAGTAATAACGTTATAAGAGCAACAGTATATTCTAAACAACAAAGTGAAATACATTGTCTTTATAATCTAAAAAAAAATCACCTTTTGCTAAAAAAGTCATATGAAAGAGGCCAGAAATCGCCTCAGATTGCACCACAGAGCATCCATATTCCAAAACTTTTAGGGGCCCTTTAAGCCACGCCGTAAGGGCTTTGCGCTCCGGGTTCGCATTAATTTTGTCCGTCCTTTAGAAATTCCAGCACCCCCTGGCAAACGTTTGTTCCAGCGGGCTTGGATTTGGGAGAGAGAACACTGTGTTTTTGTTTCCTGAAAATGTATGTCCTAACACCAAGTTCTTAGCAAAGCTAAGATCACACGAAAATCCACACCACGTGGTTGAACACATACACTTGACTATGAACCTTACACTTATCATCCTCAGTTCAAACAGGTTCCGAGCCTGGCTCTCTCACACAAGGAAGAATAGCTTAGAAATACAATTATTCAACTACTGTTCAATGCAGAACCAACAGGTACAAGAACAGTTGTATTCCAAGCTTAACTCGTTTACTGAACAAGCAGTTTTGACCATTAGAGGCTAAAGAAATGTACTGTTTTGTATCATGATTGTTATAAGATCCTTTTCTGATCGGACACCTGTACATTAATATTCTTTTTTTTCTCCCCGATTGATTTTAGTTTGTTAATGCTTGTCTTTTTAATCAGAGTTTTGTGATGACAGTTTTATGCCTTTTTGTTGATCATTTCTTAATTTCATATTTCTTAATACATGCATGTATTAGTTTTACTCCATTTTCGATAACTATATTTACGTGTACGAATGTATAGTTATTTCACCTAACGGTCGCCGTACTGTACATCTTAAAAATAGTTTTAATGAAATAAAACAACAATAATAATATTTTGCCATGGCCTATGACTCCGACGACTCTTCGTTGCTCGGGGGAAAAAAGGGGGCATGGCCTCACGCACTCACCATATTTAATTAAGAGGCCACTATTTATATTATTATTATTCTTATGCAAATCTTGGTCACTAGGCCAGATGGCGGCCATATCACATTGTGTTTCCTGTATATGTCTTCATACAATACAGGGCGAGTAAAAAAAAAGCGGAACCCAAACCCCCAAAATAATATTTCATATTTAACAAAACATGTTGCACCAAACATAATAATGACTGGAAAGCCAATTTCATAAGCTAATATTAGATAAAAAAAAAATACTGAAATTGTTCAATCCTTTCGTAGAATATCACCCTAAAACCTCTTTCGTCCAAGAAAAGCATTTTATTGTGTGTTCTGACTGTTGAGACACAATACTTGTTTCACAACTGTCAACAACTGTACACAATATATATTTATTGCCAACCTTGCTTAGGTTAACAATACGATTTATATAATCCCTTTTTATTTAAAAAAAAAAAGGGCCTTTTCAACTGAGGTTTTATCGCTAGTGATTAAGCCGGCTAAAATTCCGTACCTTGAAAAGTACATGAGTGATTTGAATGAATCTTGTACTAAAATAATGAAAGGTTTGCGGAAACACCATGTGCGAATAATTTCTCAACTAAGAGAATGGTTCTGAAAAGAACCAGAGGTATACCAGAGGTATAAAAAAAAGAGTATACCTCTGATTCTTTTCAGAACCATTCTCTTAGTTGTGAAATTATTCGCACATGGTATTTCCGCAAACCTTTCATTATTTAGTATCTCCACCATGCAAAGCCTCAAATCTTACTTGTACTAAAAGAAAGCTTATGAATTGGGCTTTCATTATCCTAGATTTTGAAAGTGCTACATGCAGAACTTCACTAAAACAATGGTCCTGACATTTGGGTTTCGCTTTTTTTTTGTTGACTCGCCCTGTAGAGTACATCATGCAGGCTTTTTTTTCCGGGTGTCATTTTGTTGTCTTCTTCTGTTGCTGATGGTATACAGAGTATTTTAAAATCCGGAATTAGAAAAAAAAAATCGCTATTCGTGAGTATTTGAAGGCGCAGTGTGTCTGACACGATGC